ACAAACTCAAGTACAAGCTACTAACAAGGTGTATCATAAATGAAAAATTATTCAATTATTATTATTATTATTATTAAATTAAACAATTGCTAACAGCAGCCAACTTAATTCATGTGAATCGTGTACTGCTAGGCACCTTTGGCTTCCTCTTTTTGTGTAATTTAGATGGAAAATGTGTGTCTTTTTTATCGTTTGAGTCACTTATCAAAAGTTGCTAAATGTTGCCAAATACATTTTAAAAAATAGCTACATTTGTTGCTAGGTGCTTTTGGAAGAAAAAGTTGCTAGGGTAGTCTGAAAAGTTGCTAAATCTAGCAACAAAATTGCTAAATTGGCAACACTGCACATATACAATCTGACTATATTATTTATTTATTTACTTATTTATATAACAGCAATAATACACTAAACAGGTAAATTACACGGTATTTTTTAAATTATAAAGTATTTTTACGGGTGGAGTTATGCAACAGCGTGAGAGCTTGATAGACAGGCGAACTGACCAATCATAACACCAAATCCGCCATCTTGTCCGACAAATAAATCAGACAGGAGAGTAGTCGCTGGACTTGTGCTGCATTCACGCCATGTCGTAATTATCGTAATTACCGTAATTCCGAGATGAAAACACGTGACGTTTAACTCGGTGCTGTTCACGTCCTCGGATTATCAAACATTATCAAATTTTTGTCAACAAAATGAACCCGCGACCGCGTGAGAGAATGTTACTGGCAGCTGTAAAACACATAACATTACATTTGTATGCTACTGCAAAATATTGCAGAACACGGAAAGCGTTTTAGGTAAAAAATAATTACTAACTGTTTGTTTGTTTTTTTGTTTGTTTGTTGTTGTTATTAATGACATCGATAAATGTGTTATCGCTAACCTAAACAAACAAGAACAAAATAATAATAATAATAATAATAATAAGTATGAACACTTACAATATGTTTTTATATTATAGTATATAATAGTATCTATATATATATATATCTATTTCCCCCTTTTTAGATCAGTAATAGCTTTCTTTGAAAGCGCCGCCATTTTTCTCTTGTTCCGCGTGAGGTGCAGCAGTCACGTGGTACAAGCCGTAGCTTGTAGCCGCTGGCCGTGGCGTTTCCTCCCGGGACCCCACGCCTTCCTCCGGACATCCGGCTCATGACGAGGAGCGGTAGCAGACACCGCTGCGGTCGCTGGCCTGGGGTTATCCCTCCGTTGGGAAGAGCCAGGTGCCGACGAGGATCTGGATCTCGCTGTCTGCTGCTGGAAAGCGTGCCTTGGCATCACGTGACTCATGGCTTTGGCGCGCTTTTGAGCCTCCGCAAAGTGCTCAATAATGGACTTCACAGCGTCACCGAAGGGGCCGGAGGGAGTCACCGGAGCGTTCAGCAGCACTTTACGGTCAGCATCCTTGAGGTCAGCCAGGTTTAACCATAGGTGCCTCTGAAGGACGACCATAAAACCCATGGCCTTACCCACGGCCTGGGCCGCTCGCTTCGTCGCCATCAGCGCGAAGTCTGTCGCCACGCGCAGATCCTTAATGGCCTCCGTCGTGAGGGCTCCGCCCTCCGCCGCCTGCAGCAGCTTCGCCTGAAAATCCTGCAGCACCGCCATGACGTGCAGCGCAGAAGCCGCCTCGCCATCAGACGCATGTGCTTTATTGGCGAGGTGGGCTGATGTCCGAGCCTAGGGTTCTGGCTGCTGCAGGACACAGGTGCGCAGCAACGGTCTCCTCGACGGGGGGAGGGCGCACGTACCCGTGGGCCTCCACCCCATCCACGTGGGAAAAGATGGCCTGTGTGGCGGAGTGGACACGCGCTGATTGGGGTGCAGACCATGTTTTCACCAGCTGCTCATGTACGTCGGGGAAGAAGGGGACCGATGCCCTCGAGTCAGCTTTCCAGGTGGACCTGAAATACCAGGAGTCAAGCTTACTCATGGCAGGCTCCTCTGGAGGACTCCAGGTAAGCTCCAACTCCTGGACGGAGGACCCACCAGCGGCACGCTGGCGGCAGTGGGCCTCACCCCAAATAGGCCGCGAGCCACATCGCGGCGGGTCCGGAGCACGCGGGCCGGAAGGTCCGCGCAATGCCCGCAGTTGGACTCGTCCAGCGCCGCCTCGGCCGCAGTCGGACTCATCCAGCGCCGCCTTGGCGCGGGCCAGGCCCAGGCAGGCGACGCAGTGGTCATGTTGATCCGGTGGCTCGATTGGCCCCGCGCAGATCTTGCAGATTGTTGCCATTGTGAATTCAGCAGGTGAAGTAGAAGATTCTGACATAATTGTCGCGTGCACCGCATTTTATACTGCCTCTCGAGCTCGTCAGTATTTGCATGCGATTTGCATACTTTGCACAATTGGCCAGTCATTTGGACTGGCGTGAACCAATAGGACTTCAGGAAAGGTTGGAAAGTTCCCATAATGGAGAAATGTCTCCGTGATGTCTCGTGAAAGCTCGAGCGGGAACTCCCAGTTCACAATTTGTAATTACGAGTTCTACGAGAGGACGTGAACGCTTTTTACAAGTTGATATCTCGTAATTATGGTAATTACGATATGGCGTGAACGCACCTTTGATCTTAAAAATGGTGTGTATTGACGCATTTCCCCGGCTGAAACAAGATGTTCTGATGTTCATGATTACTTCGTGCTAAAACCATAGAATGTATGGGCTAAAACTAGTAAAGAGGAAGAGATGATCGGTTCACGTACTGCTTGAACTTGAACTGAGGCGCTACAGCAATCTGTCACGACACATTAAAGAGCCACAATACTGTATTTATCATTTGAATTAAAACATTTTTTTGAAAAATTTGATTTCTGATACTTTGTTTTCCAACCACAAGTACCCTGGCGTGTTGTCTGTAGTTTCCTCTTTGCTCCGAAATGTATTTTTCACTGCATGAGAACCTGTGGCAGAGAGCACCATGGCCGGTCTCACGTCGATTTTCTCACACTCTCTTAAATGAATGCAAGAGCAGTTCAGTTAAAACTGTAATAATACAGATTTGGCAACTTCTCCAGTGCGTATTTGTGTTTGTGCTCTGAAGGCTATCAAAACCTTCTTTTTACAAGGTGTTTTGTAGCGTTGAGTGACGTAGCCAATCACAGACATATCTGTTGATTTCTTGAACACCTCTGATTGGCCATTGCTGTTCAAGACACTGAATTTTTTAAGACTACACTGAAGTTCTGCATGCTCGCGAATTCTGTCATTGTAACAAAGTTTATACAAAATGTAAATAAGAGACCCATTGTGCAATGAAGAGAGCTTAATTTATTATAACAGAACTTTGTGAGATCGCGATGAATTTAACTGAGTTAAAGGACGCGGTCTTCAGGCTATAATCTCTTCAGAATTTGAATAAAAGTTTTTTTTTCTCTCTTTTTGCTGGACCAATGGCCACATACACTGTACATGCAGCAAAGTTTCAGGAGTGAAATATAACCCGCATCCCTCATATAAATGTGGGATTCACTTTCTATTATAATAGTGTCTAACCCATTA